CTCGTGCAGACACACAAACAAACAAACACACAGACATACTTCTTTGTTTTATATATATATACAGTAGGCAGATTATTATTATCATTATTAGTAGTAGTAGTAGTATTATCATTATTATTATTATTATTATTATTATTATTATTATTATTATTATTATTATTATTATTATTATTATTATTATTATTATTATTATTATTATTATTATTATTATTATTATTATTATTATTATTATTATTATTATTATTATTATTATTATTATTATTATTATTATTATTATTATTATTATTATTATTATTATTATTATTACATTATTATTATAATCATTTATTTTATTATTATTATTATAAATTTTATTATATATTATTACATTATTATTATTATTATTATTATTATTATTATTATTATTATTATTATTATTATTATTATTATTATTATTATTATTATTATTATTATTATTATTATTATTATTATTATTATTATTATTATTATTATTATTATTATTATTATTATTATTATTATTATTATTATTATTATTATTATTATTGATATTATTATACATTTTCGCCCCCCAGGCCCATATGTGGGTCAGTCACCTGTGCCCAGGCGGGCTAATCCCCGTTAAAAAAAAAGCCTCAGATTCTCTTCAAGCCTGTCCTTAGGTCTATTTAACGGTACTACCCTCTCTAATGTTACCCACTTTCAGTATCTTGGCTCCCACCTGTCCACCACCGCGGAAATCAATGGAGAGATCCAACATCAGATCAGAGGTGCCTTTGGCAGAGTCCGTACCTGTGTCTTCAGCTGAAATTATCTACAAAGTTGCACGTTTATTGAGCACCCTGCTGTATGGCAGCAAGATATGGGTCACATACAGAAGGCACCTCAAGGCTCTTGAAACGTTCACGAACGTTGTCCACGTTCCACCCTCCGAGTTCGCTGGGAAGCCAAGAGAACAAATGCCACTGTTCTCGCTGGCACCAATTGTAGGAGCATCGAAGCCGCCATGAAAACTACTCTGGACTGGCCATGTTATCTGCATCGACGACAGTAGACTGCCAAAGCAGCTACTTTACAGTCACCTAACGAATAGTAAACGTAATGCTGTTGGGCAACGGAAAAGGTATAAGGATAGTCTTAATACAAATCTGAAAAAGCGCCCAATTGACCCCCTCACCTGGGAGACGATCTCTCCACACCGTAATGCTTGGAGGAGTACCACACGAGAAGGTGTCAATACTTTCGAGTAAGCCCGACTGCATACCGAGACAGACTAGCGCCAGAGCCGGAAAGAAGTTGCCGCTGCCCCTCCCGCACTAGGTGTAGCCCTCCACACGTGCAACATCTGTGGACGGCTCTGCAGGTCCCTAATAGGCCTCGCGAGTCACCTAATATATACAGTAGAGGAGAGCAGTGACCCTTACTAATCTTAATAAAAAAAATGACCATGCCATCTCTCTCTCTCTCTCTCTCTCTCTCTCTCTCTCTCTCTCTATATATATATATATATATATATATATATATATATATATATATATATATATATATATATATATATATATATATACAATCAACACCTCAACCCGCCAGGATTCGAACCCATGGCCCACGAGCCCATGACTGTGACCGGGGAACGCTAACTGCTGGACCACCAGGATACTAAAAGCAGTCCTAGACTCTGTTATATTTCACACAAAGCCTGTTCAACGAGCTTATGGCGCCATGAACCTCTAATGGGGACTACCCGTATCACGTAGGTGGTCAGAGTACCGTTTTACCAAATCCGGCTTCGAAACACAAGGGCTAATGAAAAAAAAATATATATATATATACAGTATATATATATAAATAATATTCAGAAATTTCAGTGTAATTTCAAAAGCCGCGCCATTGACGATACTGAGTTTCAAGGTCGTCTGAGGGGGACAGCTGAGAGTTTCTGGAACTAGGCCTATACGATATTAAATGTAATTTACCGAATTAATATGGATGCGAATCATGAAATTAAATTTACATTATTAAATTTTATATTTTTATGGCCGTTTCTCAGTCTAAAAATGTTACGTGTGTCCCAACGAAGCTATTAGTTATGCTGGAAAATATGTCACGTAGGCCTAGGCTTGGGAAAGCTCGAGCCTGGCTGTTTCTCAGTCACGCGAAATCGATCGGACAGACAGGACGTCCCTGCGCGTCCGTCCACAAAACGGTCACCGCGTCTAGTCACCTGTGTTGCGAGACCGCAGTATAACAAGTAAGTCTCATTCGATCTCAGACAGGGTTTAGAAAGGGCAGTGATAAAATTAGCAATAGCTAACAGTGAGTTCATTGCAGGGTTTTCGTCATCACCCACATGACTGTGGGTGATGACTGCCATTTGAGACTGCCGTTGATGATTGATGATTAGCGATTGTCGCAGTTGGAACGATCAATGCAGGTTTGTCACTGGTTAGTGGGGTTTGCAAGGGATCTCTAAAGTGACACCAGCTGTTTGGGGCATGACGTGACGATCGTTTGGGGTCATCAGCCCTCCTCTACCTCGGCTCACAATATCACATATCTTCAAGCAGTTTAGTGAAAACCTTTTACTAACGGGAAGCTAAAGCTTCTCTCAACTGTACAAGGTCGTAGTTGCTCACTCCCTTCCGTTCATGGATGTACTGGGTGTAAAGTGAAGCCAGCTGAGTGAATGAATGATCACACACTGAGGCCAAGAGTCTAGTGGAACTTAAAGGTACATTTTCCAAAGCTGAGAAACGCTGGTTTGGGCCTTAAACTACGGGTGCCAGTTGGTTGTGCCTTAAAAACTATGGGTGCATGTGGAATCTATGTGTTAGTTTAGGAAGCATGGTTCACGGGTTTTGGTGGACTCAGTAACTTCTTAATAATAGTGATAATATTTTTGTGTGTAGTTAATACTATTTTTTCAGTTACTGACGTTGTCTTGCTGTGTATAGTTAATATTTCTTAAATAAATTTGATAGTATTGTTTTTTAATGTTGTCTCACTAATTGATGCCAGAGAATGAGGGAACTGTTTTTCAGATAAGTTTTCTCCCTTCTGTTGTAAGTGATACTGTGATTTAGTTCCTTTAATGCATTTAATATTTCTTTATAATTTCGATCCCAGGTATAACCTTTGTTCCCCAAAGTAGTGTTTAAGTTAGGTTAGGAGGTGTGTATCGGTTGGGGTAATATAATTTTATTGAGTGCCCTTTAGGCCTATTCATAGTGGATTCAATAATTTCTTATTTTTTTATATCATTTTCTCAGTGATTGATATTATTTTGTTGAAAACCCTTAAGGCCTGCATCTGTTGGTGTAACATAATTATATTGAGTGCCCTGTAGGCCTATGCATGGTGGAATTAATACTTTCTTATTTTTATACCATTTCCTCAGTGATGGATACTATTTTGTGAAAGCCCTTAAGGCCTGTTTCATGTGTGCAAGCAACACTTCTTAATACTTTGAACTTATTGTTGTCTAATGAGGCATTGTCTGAGTTTCTAATAATTTCAATATCATGTACTGTATAACTTTTACTCCCCAGAGTAGTGTTTTAAGTTCAGGTTAAGAGGTGCGCATATTGGTGTACCATTATTTGATTGTGTTTGTAGTGTTGGAGGGAATATAAGTGTCTAAATTTTACAGTGTGTCTCATTCATCCCAATCACAGATGCTATCCTTCCACGGGTCACGGAGAATTCATTTTTGTTTATAAATTTAAGTGTTCTTGTGCTGGTTCGGGTTTTTTCTCCAAAGGGCGCATCCACTGCAATTTCCATCTAATAATATTTAATAAACCCCAAGTCAAGTGAGAATTAAAGTCCAGTAATTCCGACCGGTTACACACATTATATATATATATATATATATATATATATATATATATATATATATATATATATATATATATATATATATATATAATATATATATATATATATATATATATATATATATATATATATATACTTATATATATATATATATATATATATATATATATATATATATATATATATATATATATATAATATAAACTCTATATACAGTATATATATATATATATATATATATATATATATATATATATATATATATATATATATATATACTGCTATATTGTCAACAGTATTAGTAGAGAACATAACATTTATATTCCTGTGTGCATACAATCGAGCCTTTAAATTCACTGTAAATTCACTAGTGAATCCATGCGTGCATATCTATGTATGTAGTCATGTGTGTACATGTCAAAACAACATATAAGCAAATAAATCTTCATCGCTAAGACAACACAAACAATAATATCATTGTTGTTTAGTTTTTTCAGCGTAAATACCAACAATGATGACATCATTAAAACAATAGAGAAATATTCCTTAGTTATACCACTGGGTTGTTCCCATATGACTTAGCTTAACACATTAATCACTCTATATATCCGAACAATAGGCGAAAAAGACCCAAAATATACATTTCGGATACTTGGTGATATATTTCCCTACTTGATATACAAAATTTTGGTGAAATAGGGGATATATTTCTCAATTTACTGTACAAACTTTAGGTGAAAAGGACGGATATATTTCACCATTTAATTTACAAAGTTATGGTAAAAATAAATTATATATAGAGTGATCAATGGGGATATATTCATATAGATTGTTATTTAATACAAAAAAATTGCCTCATTAACTGCTTGTTACTATGGGGAATGGCAATTAGATGTTTGTGAAGTAAATGATCGGAACCGTGTAATAACTAGTATGTGATTTCCATACACATATATGTGTTCTAATCATCACTGTGTAACAACCACCAAACTTTAACAACCTTCTCTGTGTAACAACCTTCACCAATCTATCAACAATAACAACAACTATATAAACTAATACTTAAGTAACATCTACAATCATATTGCAACTAGTGTTATAACTATTTCCTTAATTACTGTAACAGCCATTAAAACAACCATGAACGAGGTAGTTAGGTCACTTACCATTAGCTACGAAGACAAGACGAGCTGAGACGAGGAAGAGAGAAACAAATAAATGTTATTAAGGTTTACTAAAAAACACAATTAATTACATAAAGACAAAGGTAACTAAGCGGTAATTAAGAGGTAATTACATGTTACATAATAATGTTTCTGATATTACATTTAATTACTTAAGTGAGTAATTTTTCTAGAAGGTATAATTACTTCTTAAGATGAGTATGTGTGTGAAAGAGAGAGAGAGAGAGAGAGAGAGAGAGAGAGAGAGAGAGAGAGAGAGAGAGAGAGAGAGAGAGAGTGAGAAAGGATGTAACTGAGAGAGAGAGAGAGATCTGAGATAGTGAGATAGCAGAGGAGAGAGAGAGAGAGAGAGAGAGAGAGAGAGAGAGAGAGAGAGAGAGAGAGATCTGAGATAGTGAGATAGTGATGTAACTGAGAGAGAGAGAGAGAGAGAGAGAGAGAGAGAGAGAGAGAGAGATCTGAGATAGTGAGATAGTGATGTAACTGAAGAGAGAGAGAGAGAGAGAGAGAGAGAGAGAGAGAGAGAGAGAGAGAGAGAGAGAGAGAGAGAGAGAGCAATGAACTTAGTAATACGCTAAAGTACTCCTACAAAACACCGTTCAATATGCAAATGACTTTAACACAGCTTATGCAAATTATATGTTACTTACCGTAGGATGGATTGCTTGCTGCTTGGGGAAAAAATAAGACCATCAAAATTATTTCAAAACTAATTTGCTTATCTAGATACCGGGTCATGCATAGTGACTGATTAGATCTGAAAAATATACAGTATGTCTAATATATACAGTATAAATGAGGGATCACATGAAGATTAGCCCTCTTCCCGCTCACCTTATATTACCTGATAATTACACATCTTAACGTTACCTAGGTTTGGTAAAATTATATTAAGTCAGGTTAGGTTAGGTTTGGTTAGGTTAGGCTAGGTTAGGTTAGGTTAGATTAGATTTAGATTAAGTTAGGTTAGGTTTGGTTTGATTTGGTTAAATTAAATTAGATTAGGTTAGGTATAATTGGGTTAGGTTTGTGTTAGGATGATTTATCGTAAGGTGAAACAACCTGGTAGGCTAATCTTCAGGTGTTCCTAAATTTGAATAATAAAATAACAATAATCGTAAATTCTAAACGGCGTCAATCAAGAAGCCTGAAAACTGCTTTGAGAAAAAATCCTGATGACGCTGTTTGACAATTGATATTTATCCACATTAAAATATATATATTTATATATTATCCAAGGCGTCTCATTACTCGTTTCGTAAATTTAGTTTTCTATTGAACTTTGGTGCATTGACCTGTGGACACCAAGGTCAAACAAGGTCATGTGTTATACAGGTCATACATTAACAGATTGCGGTCATACATTACACACTAAGTGGAAGCTGAAGAAAAATACACACATTGTAAATATAACAGATCAACATCATAACAGGTCAACATCATAACAGGTCAACATAACGGGTCAACATAACAGGTCAACATAACGGGTCAACATATCGGGTCAACATAACAGGAGATCAACATAACAGATCAACATAACAGGTCAACATAGCAGGTCAACATTACAGGAGGTCAACAAAACAGGTCAACATTACAGATCAACATAACAGGAGGTCAACATAATAGGTCAAAATAACAGGTCAATAAAATAGATCAACATAACAGGAGGTCAACATAATAGGTCAACATAATAGGTCAACATAACAGGTCAACAGAACAGGTCAACATTACATAAGGTCAACATTACAGGAGGTCAACATAACAGGTCATCATTACAGGAGGTCAACATAACAGGTCATCATTACAGGAGGTCAACATAACAGGTCAACATAACAGGTCAACAGAACAGGTCAACATTACATGAGTTCAACATAACAGGTCAACATTACAGGAGGTCAACATAACAGATCAAAATAACAGGTCAATAAAATAGATCAACATAACAGGCGGTCAACATAATAAGTTAACATAACAGGTCAACATACAGGAGGTCAACATAACAGGTCAACATTACAGGAGGTCAACATAACAGGTCATCATTACAGGAGGTCAACATAACAGGTCAACATTACATGAGGTCAACATAACAGGTCAACATTACAGGAGGTCAACATAACAGGTCATCATTACAGGAGGTCAACATAACAGGTCAACATTCCTGGAAGTCAACATAACAGGTCAACAACATAACAGGTCAACATTACATGAGGCCAACATAACAGGTCAACATTACATGAGGCCAACATAACAGGTCAATTTTACAGGAGTTCATCATTACAGGTCAACATGGCAGGTCACCATAACAGGTTAACATAAGAAGCGAACATTGCTGGAGGTCAACATAATAGGTCAACATTACAAGAGGTCAACATAACAGGTCAACATAGCAAGTCAATATAACAGTTCAACATCGCAGGTCAACATAACAGGTCAGCATAGTATGTCAGCATTACAGGTCAACATAACATAACAGGTCAACATATGAGTAAGCCAACATAAAGGATCAATTTCGCTTGTCAATAAAACAGGTCAACATATCAGGTCAACATAAAAGGTCAACATAACAGTTTAACATAACAGAAGGCCAACATAACAGGAGAACTTCATAAAAGGAAGTCAACATAACAGGTCAACATATGAGTAAGTCAACATAAAGGATCAATTTCGCTTGTCAATAAAACAGGTCAACATATCAGGTCAACATAAAAGGTCAACATAACAGGTTAACATAACAGAAGGCCAACATAACAGGAGAACTTCATAAAAGGAAGTCAACATAACTGGTCAACATAACAGGTAAACATACAGGAAGCCAACGTAAAAGGTCTGCAACATTACAGATCAGCATTAGCGGTCAGAAGGAAGAAATCTGTCACACTAAGAAGCAGAGTTCACGAAGACAAGGAAAGCAGAGTTCACGAAGACAAAGAAAGCAGATGTCACCACGATAAAGAAAGCAAATTTCATGAAAACAAAGAAAGCAGTGTTTACGAAGACAAAAAAGCAGAGGTTACGAAGCCAAAGAAAGCATAGTTCACGAAGACGAAGACAGCAGAGTTCTCGAAGACAAAGAAAGCAGAGTTCACGAAGACAAGGAAAGCAGAGTTCTCGAAGACAAATAAAACATCATTCACAAAGCCAAAGAAAGCAGAGTTCACGAAGATAAATAAATCATCATTCACGAAGCCAAAGAAGGCAGAGTTTACGAAGACAAAGAAAGCAGAGTTTACGAAGACAAAGAAAGCAGAGTTCATGAAAAAAAAAGTCACGCAGACGATCAAAGAACAAAGATCACAACGACTTTTATAATCACGGGACACAAACACAAATCATAAACAACACACGAGAGAGGGAGAGAGAGAGAGAGTAACCCACCTATGATATGGACGGTGACAGGAACAAAGGTGACCTGGCCTCGGTGATCAACAGCCCCGGCCCGGAAGGTGTATGACCACTGGGATTTACCTGGTGTACGTCCAAGGGTCACCACACCTGACACGCCATGCACTGTGAACTAATGACCCATGGAGGGGGGGAGAAGGATTAGTTAGCGGTGTGTGACGAGAGAGAGAGAGAGAGAGAGAGAGAGAGACTTTTTGTGACTTAAGAAAGTATCCAACTTCCTCTAACAACAGTATCAACTTTCTGTCAGTTACTTCCTCTGTATTCTCTCTTTTGACTCTCAAGTAAACAAACACCTGTGTCCCTCAATACCTGTGCCACTACCCATCTCCTGTTACATGTGCCCTTTATTCCTGCCCTGACGTTGTACACTCCTCCATACAAATGTTTGCCAGTGACGCCAAGTTATTTCGGGGAAATAAAAAGAACCAAGCGGACTGTGAAAGAGCTGCAGAAGGACACTCTGCTTGGGAGGCTCAATGGTCGAAGGAATGGCTGCTGAGATTCAATGTGTCACAGAAGTGTAGAGGATGCACCTGGGGCGTACCAACGGTAAGGAGGCGTGCCATATGTCCCAACAGGATGAAGAGAAAATGTACTAGATTGAGACTGTGTGTGAGAAAGGACCTAGGTGTGTATGTTGACAAGGAGCTGAAGTTCTCAGGCCATTGCGAGAAGAAGGTAAATCAGGCAAATAAATTACTGGGTCGTATAAGAAGGTCGTTCCGATATCTAGACGGTCCGTCCCTCGTAGAGATCTTCAGGAGTGAAGTGCTTCCCTATCTGGAGTACTGTCACCCCATCTGGTCCCCGAGATATGCTAGGGACTGTCAGTTGGTTGAAAATGTTCAAAGGAGGGCCACCAGACTGGTGCCTGCACTTCGGCACCTCAGCTACCCTGAGAGATTGGAGTGCCTGAACTTGCCTAGCTTATACTACAGACGGGCAAGGGGGGACCTAGTTGAGGTGTATAAGCATCTCAGGGGCACTACTCAGGTGAGTGTCCTTACTTGGAGCTGGCGGACGCTCGCCCCACAAGGGGTCACAGCTCAAGATTGAAGAAGCCGCAAGTCCGGAAAACCGTGAGGGCAAACTTTTTCGGAGTGATGGTTGTAAACTCTTGGAACAATCTACCAGAAAGTGTTGTGACGGCACCGAGTGTGAGCTCTTTCAAGAGAAGACTTGACCAACACTGGAGCGGGTTCAGGTACATTCAGGAGCCGGTGCATGCCCAGTATTTGCCAACAGTGCGTGACAGAGACGTGACCGATCGCCCGGGCGGCTAGCGAGCCGACCTTTTGGTGAAGAATATAAAGGAAAAGAGTCGTGACCGATCGCCCAAGCGGCTAACAAGCCGATCAGTGGCGAAGAGGATAAAAGTAAAAAAGTAAAAGTTACATGTGCCACTATTCTCCTGTTACATGTGCCACTCCCTCCTGTTACATGTGCCACTATTCCTCCTGTTACATGTGCCACTATCCTCCTGTTACATGTGCCACTACCTCCTGTTATATGTGCCACTACCCTCCTGTTATATGTGCCACTACCCCTCCTGTTACATGTGTCACTATCCCTCCTGTTATATGTGCCACTATCCTCCTGTTACATGTGTCACTATCCCTGTTGCATGTGTCACTATCCCTCCTGTTACATGTGCCATTACCCTCCTGTTATATGTGCCACTACCCTCCTGTTATATGTGCACCACTCCCTCCTGTTACATGTGCCACTATCCCTCCTGTTATATGTGCCACTATCCTCCTGTTACATGTGTCACTATCCCTCCTGTTACATGTGCCACTACCCATCTCCTGTTGCATGTGCCACTACCCTCCTATTACATGTGCCACTATCCCTCCTGTTACATGTGCCACTACCCCTCCTGTTACATGTGCCACTACCCCTCCTGTTACATGTGCCACTATCCCTCCTGTTACATGTGCCACTATCCCTCCTGTTACATGTGCCACTGCCCTCCTGTTACATGTGCCACTATCCTCCTGTTACATGTGCCACTATCCCTCCTGTTACATGTGCCACTACCCTCCTGTTACATGTGCCACTATCCCTCCTGTTACATGTGCCACTACCCATCTCCTGTTACATGTGCCACTATCCTCCTGTTATATTGTGCCACTATCCCTCCTGTTATATGTGCCACTATCCCTACTGTTACATGTGCCACTACCCCTCCTGTTACATGTGCCACTACCTCCTGTTACATGTGTCACTATCCCTCCTGTTACATGTGCCACTGCCCTCCTGTTACATGTGCTACTATCCTCCTGTTACATGTGCCACTATCCCTCCTGTTATATGTGCCACTATCCCTCCTGTTATATGTGCCACTATCCCTCCTGTTACATGTGCCACTACCCTCCTGTTACATGTGCCACTACCCTCCTGTTACATGTGTCACTATCCTCTTGTTACATGTGCCACTACCCTCCTGTTACATGTGCCACCTCACTCTCCTGTTACATGTGTCACTATCCCTCCTGTTACATGTGCCACTGCCCCTCCTGTTATATGTGCCACTACCCCTCCTGTTACATGTGCCACTATCCCTCCTGTTATATGTGCCACTATCCCTCCTGTTATATGTGCCACTATCCTCCTGTTACATGTGCCACTACCCCTCCTGTTACATGTGTCACTACCCATCTCCTGTTACATGTGTCACTATCCCTCCTGTTACATGTGTCACTACCATCTCCTGTTACATGTGTCACTATCCCTCCTGTTACATGTGCCACTACCCTCCTGTTACATGTGCCACTACCTCTCCTGTTATATGTGCCACTATCCCTCCTGTTACATGTGTCACTACCCTCCTGTTACATGTGCCACTATCCCTCCTGTTACATGTGTCACTATCCCTCCTGTTACATGTGCCACTACCTCTCCTGTTATATGTGCCACTATCCCTCCTGTTACATGTGCCACTATCCCTCCTGTTACATGTGCCACTATCCCTCCTGTTATATGTGCCATTATCCCTCCTGTTACATGTGTCACTACCCTCCTGTTACATGTGTCACTATCCCTCCTGTTACATGTGCCACTATCCCTCCTGTTATATGTGCCACTATCCCTCCTGTTACATGTGTCACTACCCCTCCTGTTACATGTGCCACTACCTCTCCTGTTATATGTGCCACTATCCCTCCTGTTACATGTGCCACTATCCCTCCTGTTACATGTGCCACTGCCCTCCTGTTACATGTGCCACTACCCTCCTGTACATGCCACTATCCCTCCTGTTATATGTGCCACTATCCCTCCTGTTATATGTGCCACTATCCTCTTGTTACATGTGCCACTACTCCCTCCTGTTACATGTGTCACTATCCTCCTGTTATATGTGCCACTATCCTCCCTGTTACATGTGCCACTATCCTCCTGTTATATGTGCCACTATCCCTCCTGTTACATGTGTCACTATCCTCCTGTTACATGTGCCACTATCCCTCCTGTTATATGTGCCACTACCCCTCTTGTTACATGTGCCACTATCCTCCTGTTACATGTGTCACTATCCCTCCTGTTATATGTGCCACTACCCATCTCCTGTTATATGTGCCACTCTCCCTCTTGTTACATGTGCCACTATCCTCCTGTTACATGTGCCACTATCCCTCCTGTTATATGTGCCACTATCCCTCCTGTTATATGTGTCACTACCCCTCTTGTTACATGTGCCACTATCCCTCCTGTTATATGTGCCACTATCCCTCCTGTTATATGTGCACTATCCCTCTTGTTACATGTGCCACTATCCCTCCTGTTACATGTACCACTACAACCCATGTTAGCCTGTGTGATTGCCCCCTACTGCTACCAGTGCCACTATCCCCGTCACCGGTGCCACTATCCTCGTCACCGGTGTCACTACCCCCTTCATTGTGCCACTACTCCCGTCACTGGGGCCACTACCCCTATTACTGGTGTCACTACCCCACACATTGGTGCCACTACCCCCGTCACCGGTGCCACTACCTCTGTCACCGGTGCCACTACCTCCATCACAGGGGCCGCACCCCATCACCGGTGCTACTACCTCTGTCACCGGTTCCACCACCTGTCACTGGTGCCACTACCTCAATCACAGGGGCCGCCACCCCATCACCGGTGCCACTATCCCCTGTCACTGGTGCCACTACTTCAATCCACAGGGGCCGCTACCCCTATCACCATCAACGGTCCACTACCCCCGACACCGGTGCCACAACCCCAACACCGGTGCCACTACCCCCTCACCCGTGCCACTATCCCCATCACCGGTGCCACTACTCCCATAACCCGTGCCACTACCCCCGACACCGGTGCCACAACCCCCAACATCAGTGCCACAACCCCAATCACCGGTGCCACTACTCCCGTCACTGGGGCCACTACCCCTATTACTGGTGTCACTATCCCACACATTGGTGCCACTACCCCCATCACCGGTGTTACTACCCCATCACCGGTGCCACTGCTCTCCCTCCCTACCACAGTCACCCTCCACCTTCACATTCTAGTTCACACGATCTTTCTCTCTTACCTTCCATCCATTCAGCCATCCATCCATGTTACTCACCATATCAGGCGGCTCCACAGCCTCCAAGAAGTAGTAGTCGAGGTCTTCATCATCATCCTCAGCCGTCACTGTGCCCACATAGCTGCCTGTAGGAGGAGCAGAGAGAGGAAATATACGATACCTCGGTTCGGTTAGGTTAGATTTGTATTATATTAGCTTAGCTTTTGGCTAGGTTAGGTTTTATTCGTAGTTTGTGTTGTGCTGGGCCACAAGTTGAGGCTAGAGAGAGAGAGAGAGAGAGAGAGAGAGAGAGAGAGAGAGAGAGAGAGTTTAAATTAGTTAACAAGTGAAACACTCAACCATTAATCACAGCTTGGGGTCGCTCTCTCTGTCTCTCTCTCCACCAGTAATATATCTTGCTGATGTTACAACCTACATTGTTATTTTTTCTGCTTTTACTACTTACTGTTACAACCAAAAATGTTATGTTTCTGCTGTTAAAACTTGCTATTACAACCTACACTATTAATATATCTCCCAGCTGTTACAACTTACTGTTACAACCTATACTAATTATATATCTCCCAGCTATTACAACTTGCTGCTACAACCTACACTATTAATATATCTCCCAGCTGTTACAACTTACTGTTACAACCTATACTAATAATATATCTCCTAGCTGTTACAACTTGCTGCTACAACCTACACTATTAATATATCTCCCAGCTGCTACAACTTGCTGTTAACGCCAAGGAACTTAATGAAATTCTAACACTCTCAGAGGACCATCTTGCTTCCCAGGCTGTGTTCGCTGACAACTGTTACAACTGTTGAGTAAGGACTCTGGAACCGTTAAGACTTGGTAAAACCGTTATGACTGTTGGTATAAACGTTAAGACTGTTGTTGAAACTGTTATGACCGTTGGTTGAACAGTTAATCTTATTGATAGAATAAAAACCGGTGGAAGAACCGTGAAGACTGTTGGTAGAACCGTTAAGACTGTTGGTAGAACCATTAAGACTGATGGTAGAACCGTTAAGACTGTTGGTAGAACAGTCATTACCGTTGTTTGATTCGTTAAGACTGTCGATAGAACCGTTAAGACCGGTGGTAGAACAGGTAACACTATTGACAGAGCAGTTAAGGCTGTTGGTCGAACCGTTAAGAAGGTTGGTAGAACATCCATGACGGTTAACAGAACACTTAAGACATTGGTAGAATCGTTAAGACTGTTGGTAGAACCGTTAAGACCGGAGTAGGATCGTTAAGTTTGTTGTTGGAACAGTTAAGACTGTTGGTAAAACCGTTAAGACAGTTGTAGGTAAAACAGTTAGGACTGTTGTTGGAACGGTAAAGATTGTTGGTAAAACCGTTTAGACATTTGTTGGAACCGGTAAGAATGTTGTTGGTGTAATAAAAAAGGTATTATTTCCTTTTATTTTATTTCTATTTTTATTTTCTTTATTCTTTATTCTTTCTTTTATATAATAATGAGGGGAGGGCGGAGGAATGAGGAAGAGAGGGAGAAGGTAGGTCTGTGGTTGAGGGAGGTGAGGTTTTGCCTGTGGTCACCCTCACCCAGAGGGTCACCCCTTAGTAACCGATAGGAGGGGAGAATGAGGAGACAAGGGAAGATTGATAACTGGAGAATAGGGCTAAAATGCAATAACTTAAACATAGGGAAAATATGTGATAGTTGTTGTTACTCATGGGGTCACTGTGTCGCTCTATACCACAAAAACACACGAGGAATACTTTACAGTGCTTCATACACCGGGAAGGGAATTGAGAACTATTCTTAAAGGTTCTTCATTTATTAAGGACGTTATAAATGGAAAATAACACTTCAAAACAACAGCCTACCCTCCTAGCTAACTTCACAATATAACACCGCGTAAAGGGAGTTTACCAAAGGGTACACTCATAAATATCTGCCATGTTCAACCCGCCGACCCACACATACGTCTACACTTAAACACTTGCAAACACAGACCCTTTGTTTGAAAATCGAGCGTAGTTATGCCTTTGACGTCACACTCACAGGGCCGTGCTTGGCTTACGCCTAAGGCACCCTCAAGGCCTTGTCAGCTTGGCGGGCAGCAGGCACTGCACTTTGTTTCTTAACTTAATTTCCCTCCTTATCTTCTCTAAAACACTGGAACAGTTAAGACTTCTGGTAGGACCATTAAGGCTGTTGGTAGAGCCGTTAATACTGTTGTTGGAATTGGTAAGAGAGTTGGTGCAACCGTTATGGCTGTTAATTGGGGAATCCAGAATCATCAAGATCATTGAGTGGGACCGTTACGACCATTGAGTGGGACCTTATAGTTGTTGTGTAGGACCGTTACGACCATTGATTTGAGGGACAGCTACGACCAAAGAGTGTGACCATTACGACTGTTGAGTGGGACCATTACGACCGTTGTAGGACCGTTAGGTCCGTTGTTTGGGACAGTTACGACCGTTGTGTTGATAGACCATTGCAACCTTTGAGTAGGACCTTTACTACCATTGAGTGTAACCTTTATGACTGTTGAATGGGACCGTTATGACCGTTGAGTGGGACCCTTGTGATAATTGTGTGGAACAGTTACGACCGTTGTGTAGGACCGTTACGACCATTGAATGGGACCAGGACCATTATGACCGTTGAGGGAGACTATTATGCCCGTTGAGTGGGACTGTTGCAGACATTGAGTGGGACCATTACGTCTGTTCAGTGGGAGCATTGCAACCATTGTGTGGAACTGGCATAACCCTTGAATGGGACCGTTATGACCGTTGAGTGAGACCATTACGACCGTTAAGAAATTCCAGCGTAAATTTATGACTTCATGAAGACGTTCAAGATCTTTAACCACAACAGTAAATTAGGAATAGTGAAAAACTGTTAAGAGGCATAAACCGATAATGTGGAATAAGAAAGAAGTGATGAAGAAGATGAAGAGAAACAATGACTAAAAGATGTAGATGTGATAATGACGAAGAAGAGGAAGCAGAAGAAAAGGAACAAAAAATAAGAAACAAAATACAAACGATCAAGAACAAGAGTAAGAACAGGAAGAGAAACAGGAAGAGAAGAAGAACAAGAAAAACAAGAACAACAACAAGAACAAGAACAACAACCACAGCAATAAGAACAGAAAAATTAACAAGAACAAGAACAAGAACAACAACAAGAAGAACAAGGACAAGAATAAGAATAAGAACAAGAACAAGAACAAGAAAGAGAAGAACAAGAACAAGAATAAGAAGAACACGTATATAAAGAAGAAGAAGAAGAAGAAGAACATCAAATAACAACAAATACAACAACAACAACAAGAAAAAGAACAAGACAGAGAAGACCAAGAACAAGAATAAGAAGAACAGATATAAAAAGAAGAAGAAGAGCAAGAACAAGAACAACAATAACAACAACAACAATAACAACAACAAGAACAAGAACAAGAAAGAGCAATTACAAGACCAAGAACCAGAATTATTATTGAAGGAAAAAATAAACAAACGCATCTTCGACTTACCTCTGGGCGCGAACTCAGAGACGGAGAAGTAGTAGTGTGGGGAGTCAGTAAGGTTCTTCAGGAGAGTCTGTCACCTGTATGTTGGCCGACACCACCGCTAAGTTCATCCCCCATCGCCCGGCTGCTGAAACCAAGAATGACACTGAGGAACCTACGGGGTCTAGACGCTGGTAGATTAACCTAAATACTATGAAAGCGATGGTATAGCTTAAGGTCTAGATTGTGAATTTTAATATTATGCTACACTTTGATGTCATCCTTGCTCCGTCTCTACTCACCTGTAACATATTTTACTCACCTCGAACCTATCTCACTCACTTTAGGCTTCTCCTACTCAACTAGCCTTTCCCATTCACCTAGTCCATTCCCTTACTCACCAATACCCTACCATTACTCATCAGCACCCTCCCTAATTCACCAATATCCTCGCTTACTCACCAACACTCTCCTTTACCCACCAACACCCTCCCTTACCCACCAATACCCTTCCTTACTCACCAACACCATCCCTTACTCAACAACACCCTCCCTTTACTCCCCATCACCCTCCCTAACTCACCAACACCAACACCCTCCCTTTACCCACCAACACCCTCCCTTACCCACCAATACCCTTCCTTACTCACCAACACCATCCCTTACTCACCAACACCCATCCCGTACTCACCAGCACCATCCCTTACTCACCAACGCCTTCCCTTACCAACCAACACCCTCCCTAACTCACCAACACCCACCCCATACTCACCAACACCTCCCCTTACTCACCTAGGTCCTGGGCGGTCACCTGGAGGAGGTAGTGGCCATTGGTATGCTCAAAGTCGAGGTTTCTCAGGTTGTAAATAACGCCACCTTCATCTATACCAAAGTTGGTGCTGTCGCTCAGCTGATACTTGATGTCCGAGTCGCCTTCATTTTGCCCAGACCTGCTGTACCTGGGGTAGTGGTGTGAGAGTATTTAGGGAGTTGTAGGGCAGATTGTGTAGATGGGTCTAGGCGAGTGTACAAGGCCATAGGGTGTCTATAGATGGGAGTAAATTGACAATACCCATCTCCTCCTTCTCTCTCTCTCCTCCCACTGACAACAATTAACTCCTGTGTCTCCTTCCTTCAACAACAGCCATCTTTCCCCCATTATCACTCTTCCATCATCACTCCCCCACCACCATTCCCAAACCATCACTCTTCACCATAACTCCTCCACTATCACTCCCCACCATCACCCCACCACCATTCCCAGCCATCACCCCCCACCATCACCATCCCACCATAACCCCACCATCACTCTCCACCATACTCCCCCACCATCATTCCCCACCATCACTCCCCAGCCATCACCCTCACCATCACCCCCACCATCATTCCCCACCATCACTACCCAGCCATCACCTCACCATCACCCCCACCATCATTCCCCATCATCAATCCCCATCATCACGACCCACCATCACTCCTCACCATCACCCCACAATTCTCCTCACCATCCATCCCTCAACCATCAACTCCCAACCATCACACCACCACCTTCACTTCCCTTCACAAACTCTCCACCACCACTCTCAACCATCACTCCCCATCATCACTTCCCCAACCATCACCCTCATCATCACCCCCATCATCATTTATAGCACAATCACATCGCCACCATTACATCCGACCATACACTCACCACCATCACTTCTCCACCATCACTGACACCATCACTCCCACCATCACTTCACCACCATCAATCCCTACCATCACTTCCACCATCACTAACTCACCAACACTCCACCATCACCCCAAACATCACTCCCACCATCACCTCCAACCGTCACTCTCAACCACCATCACTTTCCCCACCATCACTCCCCACCATCATTCCCCAGCATCACCTTCCCACCATCACTTCCCAACCTTCACTCCCCACCATCACCTCAACATCACCGCCTACCACCATCAATCGCCTCACCATCAATTCCGTTACCATCACAACCCCACCATCACTCCATCACCATCAATCCCACTCACACTCCCCAGAGGCATTCTCAACATCTTCCTATTTCATCACTCCACCAATTAATCCACCATCACTCCCCATCATCACCTCCAACCGTCACCACCACCATCACTTTCCACCATCACTTCCCCACCATCACCCATCACCATCAATCCCACCATCACTTCCTTCCATCACCACAACATCACCCTCCCACCATCACTCCTCACCTCACTCCTCACCATCAATCCTACCATCACTTCCCACCATCACTCATCTCACAAACACTCACCCACCAGCACCCCATTACATCTCCCCACCACCACTCCCCCACCACCACTCCCCACCATCAATTCCCCAAACATCACTCCCCACCATCATTCCCAAACATCACTTCCCACCAATACTCCCCACTAACACCCACACACCATTACTCCACCACCATCACCACCACCATCACCCACTACCATCACTTCCACCATCATCCCCTATCATCGCCCTACCATCACCCCTATCACTCCCTACCATCACCCTACCATCACCACCCGTACCCCTCACCTCACCACATCACCCCCCACCATCACCCCTTTAATATTACTCCCCACCACCACTCCCACCATCACTACTCCCACCACTCCCCACCACCACCCCACCACCATTCCCCACCATCAATCACCCACCATCACTCTGCTATCTTAACTCCCAACCATCACTCCCACCATCACTCTCCACCATCACCCCACCATCACCCCCACCATCACTCCCACCATGACTTCCCCACATTACTCCACCATCACTCCCCACCATCACTCCCCACCATCTCTCTCACACCATCACCCCACCGTCACTCCTCCAACATCACCTCATCGCCATCACTACCCTATCATCACTCCCTCTATCATCACCCCCCACATCATTTACTCCACCGTCGCTCCCCAACCATCATCCCCCACCATCACTCACCCCACCATCACCCCCAACCATCACCCCCCACCATCACTCCCTAACCCCACTCCCCAACATCACTGGCCCACCATTACCTCAGCCATCACCACCCACCATCACTCACAACCATCACTCCTCAACCATCACTCCCCCATATCACTACCCCACCATCACTCCCCCACCATCACCCCCCACCACACTCCCCACCATCTCCCACACCATCACTCCCCACCGTCACCTCCACCATCACCACGCCATCACTCCCCACCATCACTTCCCCACCATCACCCTCGCTGCCCTCACACCCACCATACCTACCACCACACTCCCCACCATCACTCCCCCACCCACACTCCACCACCATCACTCCCCGCCATCTCTCACACCATCACTCACCACCTTCACCCCCCACCATCACTCCCACCATCACTCCCCACCATCACTCCCCACCATGACTCCACATTTCCCCACCATCACTCCCCACCATCACTCCCCACCATCTCTCCCACACCATCACTCCCCACCGTCATCCAACATCACTCATCGCCATCACCCCCACCATCACCCACCATCACCCCGCCGCCCCCACCCGCACCATTACTCCACCACCATACTCCCCCCACCATCACCACTCACCATCACTCCTCACCATCACTCCCCAACATCACTCCCCCACCATCACTTCCCACCATCACCCTCGCTGCCCTCACACCCCACGATTACTCCACCACCATTACTCACCATCACTCCCACCATTACTCCCACCACCATTACTCCCCCACCATCACTCCCCCACCTTACCCACCACCATTACTCCCCACCATCACTCCTCACCATCTCTCTCACACCATCACTCACCACTATCACTCCCCATCATCACTCCCCAATCATCACCCTCACCATCACTCATCCACCATCACTCCCCACCATCACCACTCACCATCACCATCACCCCCCAACATTACTGCCCACCATCACTCCCTCACCATCACTCTCACCACTATCACCCCCCGCCCTCACTTCCCCACCACCTCACCATCACTCCCCCGCCATCCTCACTTTCACCCCCACCATCACTTCATCATCATTCCCCCACCATCCCTCCCTCACCCTGACTCCCCCACCATCCCTCCCCCATGAACGCTTCAACTCGCTGTACCTAAAGAAGAACATTACTCCGGGTGTCTTAAGTTCTTGTAAACACGAGACCGGACTACCGCTTAGTACATCATGTCAACACAGATCATCACCTGTTCTGGCCTGCCCTTACCTATCGTGCCGTTCTCTGGTGTGACCTTACTTGTCCTAACTTCTCCTGACCTATTGTGACCTTCCCAGATTTGTCTTGACTTATCGTGGCCTTTCCTGAGCCGTCTTGATCTGTCCTGACCTGCTCTGACTTACCCTGTCCTACCCTTATTTAGTTATCCCTGACCTACCCTGGCCTTCCCTGGCCCACCCTTGTGTAGCCATCCCTGACCCTCCCTGATCTAACCTGACCTTCACTGACCTACCCTGACCTTCCCTGGTTTGACCTTCACTGGATTGGTTGTGCTTCTGAGGTCGATTCAGTGTTTGTTGCATCACCGACCAAGGACGGGGTACCACGGTCTATGTTGTGGTGGTTGTTGTGGTGTGGTGGTTGTTGTGGTTGTTTTTGTGGTTGGTGGTTATTGTTGGTTATTATGTGGTGGTTAGTGGTAGTGGTTGGTTATTGTGGTTGTTTTTTTTTTTGGTTGTTGGTTTTTTTTGGTGGTTGTTAAATGTGGTGGTTGGTAGTAGTTCTTGTGGTTGTTGGTGGTTGTTTGTGGTTTTAGTTGTGGTTGTTGGATATGGTGATTGGTAGTAGTTGTTGTGGTTGTTGGTGGTTGTTTGTGGTTTTAGTTGTGGTTGTTCGATGTAGTTGTTGGTCGCTGGTGGTTGTTATTTTGGTTGTTGGTGGTTGTTGTGGTGGTTTAAGTTTTTTGGGTGTTGTTTTAAGTGATTGTTGGTTACTGTAGTTGTTGTTATATCCATTTCAGTCGTTGTTCTTTGTTCTTTTTTGTTGTTGTTGTAAGTTCTTATGATCCAAATAATCAAATAGGTTATCAACAATCATAGATAAACAAAGATAAGAAATAACTCTCAAGCCTTAATTATATAATCTGTAAACAATAATTTGCATAAATTTGGCTCAGATAATTTAGTACAAGTTAGTTATAAAATCAGTGTTAATTGGACAATAATTGAGTAATAATTTCTCTAATAACTTTGTGTAATAATTGAATCTGCGAAGTAATTTAATATATAAGTAGTTTAGTCTTGGTACGAATTAATGAGTTCAATCGTACTTAAGGGGGTATGATGTACTTAAGGGGGTATGTTGTACTTAAGGGGGTATGTTGTAATTGGCGTATGTCAGGCTCTAAGGGGCATGTTGTACTTAAGGGGGCATGTTGTACTTAAGGGGGTATGTTGCACTTAAGGGGTATGTTGTACCTTAAGGGGTATGTTGTACTTAAGGGGCATGTTGTAACTTGAAGCGGGCATTTTTGCACTTAAGGGGGTATTTACACTTAAGGGGTAGTGTTGTACTTAAGGGGCATGTTGTATTTAAGGTATGTTGTACCTATGTGGGTATTTTGTACACAAGATATTGTGTTGGTACATAAGGGGCATGTTGCACTCTAAGGGGCATTAAGAGTGGCATGTTATCAAGGGGTGTTGTCCTTAAGGGGGTATGTTGTACATAAGGGGGGTTGTTGTACTTAAGGGGGTATGCTGTACTTAAGGGGGTATGTTGTACTTAAGAGGGTATGCTGTACTTAAGGGGGTATGTTGTACTTAAGAGGGTATGCTGTACTTAAGGGGGTATGTTGTACTTAAGAGGGTATGCTGTACTTAAGAGGGTATACTGTACTTAAGGGGGTATTTTGTACCTTAGGGGTATGTTGTACTTAAAGGGGGGTATGTTGTACTTAAGGGGGTATGCTGTACATAAGGGGGTATGTTGTACTTAAGGG